GTGAGATGTGGCTTGCTAGGTTGTCCCCTATTATTACCCTAACAGCATCTTTGTCAAACTTCTTGAAGTATGGAATAACTATTTTTCTGAACCAGTCCTCAAAAATTTCTAGCGTGAACCATCCACTCTTTGACCTATTATAAACTACTCCCTTAGGACCATTCTCAGTCAATGAGTCGTAAAGATTTAGTGCCTTGTATGTTATGTATGGTGAAAGTAATTTTCCATCTGCACTCCCTGAAAACATGACAGATGTACTTGCCTTGGAAGAATCAACGATTCGCTCAGGATTACGTGTACCTCTTCTTACTATAACTTTCTTTCTACCCGGATCATCAGTTATATTCGTCTCGTCATAGTTAACTATCATACTTGGTTCAACTCCTTCAAGTGATGTTGTGAGTTCGTCAAAATAATTGTTGAGAATTGTCTCATTGACAGCAGCTCTACTTCTTTTTACATTTTGACAAAGCCTATTAGAAAGTTCTTTGTTATGTCTTTTCCCAAATGAATCCACAAAGTCAATACCAGGCATATTGTGTTTAAGCCTTTTTTCTGTTCAGCCACGACGATCTAGAAATCCTTTCACAATCAGTCGAATATCAAAGGTTTTTAGCGGGAATCCCCATTTTCCAGCCAATGTTACACATTCTACCAGCTGGTTTTCTTCAACAGGACTTAAAATACAAGGTCTTCCTACCTTATTGCGTTTCCTTTTCACTGCTGCTGTAAGAGCACATCGTGAAATTCCATACAGTTCAGCAACTTTCCTCAAAGAAAGTCCATCATCCTTCACTGCTTTTATCGCTGAAGCGAGCTTTTCATCCGAATAGTCCTTATACTTTCGAGCCCCAAGGGGCCGGTGATAAGTTCGTGGCATAGGTATTGTGCTGAAGCTATTTTCTTGTGGCATTGTAAATTAATTACTATTAAACTGGGAATAAACCACAATTAAAGATAAAAATACGTTTATTGACGTTTCAATTTCCACTTCGGAAATCGTTCTCAAAATACAAACAGTAAATTTACTGTTTGTATTTTGAGAACGATTTCCGAAGTGGAAATTGAAACGTCAATAAACGTATTTTTATCTTTAATTGTGGCTTATTCCCAGTTTAATAGTAATTAATAGGTATTGTGGTCTGAAACAAAGAAAATTGCTGTAACTTTATGATTTTTACTTTCATGTAGTATGTTTTTCATTACGGGGCAACAAAAGCAACTGGCTTTTGTTACCCCGTAGTCAACACAGCTGTAAAAGAACAACAAACAAAAAACAACTAACCTTAAATATGGAGAATGAATTAAAGCATGATCTACAATGATAACTAAGGTTATATTTTAAGATAGTTATTAAGCTTGAAAGAAAACGGACTGGGCTGGACGGAAAAAGTTTAAACAGCTATGAAATTTCAATACAAATTACCTCTAAATAATAATAAATTGCTAGGCTTATCTTTTAATGTGAATAAATGTTGTATTCCAGCAGCTTAAAGTTTATACGATTGTCAACTCACATTACACATAAACATCTACAATTGCTGCAAACAGTGTTGTCAACATGGGCGCTCGAAATTTACCATGCGAATTGGCTTTTGTTACCCTGTAGGCTTAAGTAACCCCGTTTTACGGGGTATAAGTAGTACGGCAAGAGATAAGGGCTTGCGGCTCTATGCTGTGCGCTGCGCACTGTTCTAACAAACCGTAGCTTTAGAAGCAAACATAATAATTTATTAAATTTGTTTAAAATAAAAAAAAGTAATAAAATTGCTTTATTCAATTTTAAAAATATTATTTAAATGTTCAAAATACAGAAAACATAGTGTAACGAAATAGCCCATCTCCGGTGCGAGGTAGAAATACGTGTCACAATTCTTAGAAGGATGATTCCGATGACGTATAATATATAGACTCGGTGAACGCTTTAAAAAGTGTCCAAAACATGAATACCTTTGTTATTGTTTATTGTTTTGATACGAAGATGCACGAAGTTCATGATTTCTTACGAAGCATCACGAAGTTGATCTTGTGTTTGAAAACATCATGGACGTATGAAAACATTTTCTCCATTTTGTGTGACAAGCAAATTTTATTTTAAATTGTTGAGAGTTATTTACTTACTATTATAGTAAAATGCCATACTATTTTATCAATATAATTAGTTCTCTTATAGACGGGAGCAAAAAGAAATCATAAATATTTAATTTTAATTAAAAAAATAATTATTGTCATTAAACATATAAATGAACACGCCGCTGTTGTGATAAACATACCTTCAACCTTGAGCCGAGATCTTTCGGACACTCGATTCTATAGCGAGAATAGGGGACTGCGTAGTCTATATATTATACGTCATTGGATGATTCTCTAATACACAATCGATGGTATTTTCAATGGCGCCTGCCTTCGAGGAGCTTTCAATGGAAGTCTAAAGATGGACTAATCCAAATGAGTCTAGCATAATACTTTTGGTATATGTATATATATATATATATTATATATATATATATATATATATATATATATATGTATATATATATATATATATTATATATATATATATATATTATATATATATATGAACGCTGTTATGAGATGAGTTTAGTTGATAAGATATTTTCGTGCTGTACACTTATAAATAAAAATATTTATATAAATTAAAACCGCTTGTTTTATTTAATATCGCTACAGTGGTGTCCGGTGTGAGGTTTAAAAATAAATTCAGCAGTGATTTTTGAGAAAGACTTTTGAACTTTTGCAGCGGGCCCAAAAAGATCCTTCAAGAACAACTGAAGAATTTTCTTAACAAGAATGGAGGTGACCCAGAGATATTCCATTTCCAGTCAGCAGAAGAGGCAGTTTTAAAGAAAATAAAAACTGTGTCGCAAATGATTAAAGAAACTTCAAGAGTCAAGTGTTACTGAAGCAATGGAATTGCCTAGTGCTAAAAGATGATCTTCTGTACAGAACCTTTGAGGACGATGATGGTACAGAAACTAAGCTTCAGTTGATTGTACCTAAAAGTAAAGTGTCAGAAGTATTGCGTCAGTTGCATAACGGTGTATCAGGTGGACACTTTGCTATTACGAAGACTCTGCAAAAAATTCGAGAACGGTTTTATTGGGTGAACTGTAAAGATAACGTAAGAAGATGGTGCCGGAAATGTGAACTGTGTGCAACCAGTATTCGTCCAGTTTGTAAAAAGAGGGCACCCATGAAACAGTATAATGTTGGTAGTCCTATGGAACAAGTAGCAATCGACATTCCAGGTCCACTTCCAGAGACGAACGATGGAAATAAATATATCCTGTTAGCCATGGATAATTTTACAAAATGGACTCAGGCCTATGCGATACCAAATTAAGAAGCTGATACCGTTGCAGAGGTACTTGTTAGAGAACTCTTTAGCCGATTTAGTGTTCCCTTGGAAATCCACTCCGACCAAGGGCGAAACTTCGAGTCAACCCTTTTCCAAAACGTTTGTAAATTGATTGGTGTCAAGAAGACCAGAACGACACCTCTGCATCCTCAATCAGATGGAATGGTCGAGAGGATAAACCGAAGACCACAGATGGGTTGATGACATTAAAAGAATAGCCGGAACAAATTGGAAATATGTTGCTCAGGATAGAGACCGATGGAAGGAGTTGGGAGAGGCCTATGTCAAAACATGGACGACAGAAGGCTAAGAGAAGAATGGCCTACCGCTCGGCCGTGAATGAAACTACAGGCCAGATCTCCAACCTGTCTGATGTTAGGTCGTGAAGTTCGTTTGCCCTGCGACCTAGAGTTTGTCTGCAGACCTTCCTTGAAGAGGATGTTGCAAGCAAAGATTATGTGAACCGCCTGAAGTTAAGAATGAACAACATTCATGAACTTGCCCGACAACACGTCCAGTTAGCCAGTGACATAATAAAGGATCAATATGATTCTCGATGCAAGAATGAAAGCTATGAAGTAGGTGATCTTGTTCGGCTTTATAATACATAACGTCGTCGTGGCTTGTTTCCCAAACTGCAAAGATAATGGGAAGGTCCGTATGAAATTAAAAAGAGAATAAATGACGTAATATACAGAATTAAGAAGTTACCGAAAGGTAAACCAAAAGAAGTTCACATAAATCGTCTTGCACCTTATGCTGGCTAAAATCAGCAAATGAGGTCAAAGATGACCGGCGACCAAGCTTTAATGAATTTATGTCAAATTACGCAGAGAGAAAGAGTGCTAGATTTGGCGTGACCACAGAAGTTCAGCAGGATCTTTTTAGTATCCGTTTAGTACATGTAAGGTTATGCGCTCTACATTAAACCTAATCCGGCCCTTGTCTAATCCGGCGCCTCCTCTAATCCGATAAGTATTGGTATTAAAATTATTTTATTTATATTGTATATTTTTATGTGTTAAGTGTTGGCACCACCTATATTAGTGATACTCGTGTAACTTCAACAAGTAAAGTTAGAGAATTGTAACTTAAACCCGACTTGCGTCATACGTCAGTCGACCAATATTATCACGATAAATCTTGTTGACGAAAACGAAAACACAGAAAAGAATAGCACGAAGCACAGAAACAAATTTTTGTTTTTGTAATACAAAAGAAAACGGTAATTGAAAATGAATGAATGTCAAACTGTCAATATTTATTGACATTTATTTTGTTAATCATAACTTCTTCTATTTATTTATCATGGCGTTATCTACTTATTAATTGTATTGCGATTTAATATGTCTGAAAAGATAAAAATTAGGTTTTGCGTATTACTTACTGTGCATTTTTTTTATTTTGAAAATTGTCCTGATGATAAAAACCAATACAACAAAAAAGTATTATCTAATTTGATGTAGTAGTCTTGAAGTTATGAGCGTATATAATTTGAGCGATTCTTTTTTTAATATATAAGTATTTCGACATGAAATAAGTTTTTTATTACTAAATATCTTGATTCATTTAGTCAAAAATTATGCGTTTTAAAAAAATACAATTCCTACATACGTAATTACGTACGATAATCCATTTTATTTTTGTTTGTTGGAAAAGACAATAAATTAATGTACAATAAGAATAAGAAATCTATCACATATTATTGCGGAAACTCTTGTCCTCGTCCTCTTCGTCGGTTGATGTTTGATCATCTATGTTCAATATATCAGTTTGAGCTTCATTTTCGTTTTGGTCTTGTTCTCTTAAAACACTCATCATTTGAGGGGAATATTGTTCTACCTAAAAAATTAGAGAATTTTAAACCATAAACTGAACTGTGGTATAAAAATGCTATTGTCAATTATTTCACTTCTTCTTACAGTACATTTGAAAGATGTGGTTGCACGGTTCATCAAGCATCGAATGACTCTGACTTATTAATAGTTTTAACAGCTATTGATGAAAGACATAGAAAGACCAAAGACTTTAAATCTTGTGTTATTGGTGATGACACGGACCTACTAGTTTTGTTGACTGTCCACGCACCATCAGAAAAGAAATTGGAAATGGTGACACCAAAGTAAGACAATCAGCAGAAAAAAGTCTACACTATTGCTCAGTGTCAGCGAGGAATTGGGAATATGAAGGATGTACTTGCAATATACGCCTTTATAGGACTTGACACGGTATCATCAGCTATCTACAAGTAGGGGAAAATTACACCGTGTAGGAAAGTGCAAGCCCACAACGCTTGTAGAATAGTTCTAGTCTTCAAAGACCCCAAAGCTAATCCCTGTGCAGAGGCTTATGCTGGAAAGTATTTCCCTGTTGCCGTATTTTGTGCCGCCAGCAACATGGAAGATCTAGATTGTTTTGGTTATCAGTCTTCCTTGAAGGCTATTGCAAAGCAGTCTATACATTCTTTGCTCAAGTTAGCTGCACTACCGTCACTTCTGGAGCTTCCAGACAGAATTCGTTGAGAACCTATCACCAGTTACAGCAGCGGCTGAATAAGAAAAAGAATCCGCTCGAGTGGGGTTAGAAAAAGATTAACGAACAGCTGAAACCAATTACAACAGTACGTGTTGCAGCTTTCGAGAAATTACTTCCGCATAGTGCTTACTTGCAAAGACGAATGCATCCATAACTGTGGGTATAGAAAGAGTGGTTTAAACTGCTAAAGTATATGCAGCAATTGCCCAGGCCTAAGATATGATACGATAATAGAAACACAACCATCATAGACGAAGATGTCGTCGAGGAGGATGTTATATTTGAAGAGGCCTGAAACTGATGAATAAGTTTACTTGAACTGATAAATATAAGTTTACTTATACTTATATATTTCATTATATTCATTATTATTATATAAGGAATTATTTGGGTATATGAATTTATTTTTTTGGAAGTTACTGCTGGAAAGATATTCATGCGACATTGTCCATAGAAAGTTTAGAGTAGGTTTGTCCGTACCACAGGTTTATATGGTCTAGCCCTACGGAAGCCCTTAAAAAGTAGCGCCCCTTGAGAAGGTAGTGAGGTTGACGTTCCTTAAAGGACTTATCGCTAACATACCACCGGCTATCGAAATAGCAAATTACATTTACAAAACATAATCCTGTTAACAAAAATTAGTTTCCTCAGTTCTAAGAGGCTACTGAATTACTTATATGATTAATTTTTTGTTTTTGATTATGTATTGGTCAATGAACTATATGAATGCTGTTGTACCTACATGCTATTCAAATCAAAATTTAATATAGTCTTATATGGTTATATTTTTTAAAACGTTTGTCGTTTATCCAACTTAAATAATATTAGTGAAAAACTTGCCATAAGAAAATAGTTTTAGAACCATTTATAAAGTTCGTATTCGATCTTTCTCATTTTTTTAGATTTTAAAAGATATTTTAAACATACATTTACCAACATCAAAAGAAAATATATATTAAATAAAACATCAAACGGTTATCTTCACTTACTTTATCTAATAGAGTTTCTGGATATCCTGGAGAATAATATCTAACAATCTCATCTGGGAAGCAGGCATTAATTACTGAGATATACTCAAATAGGGTTGTACCAGGTTTAGCTTCTATCATTTGAACTTTCTTTAGTCCACCTGTCGTAACGAAGAGTCGTCTAGCTTTAGAATCTTGTGGTAAGAGCTAAAAGGAAAAAAGTAGGCATTTTAGGATAAACATTGTTTACACTTTTAAAAAACGGTTACATATAAGATTTAATTCTGTTGATGACATCAGTGATCTTGATTTTCTATATAATCGATTCTATTCTTTTTCGATCTCTGTTATACCTAGCATGCATCGCTCCATTGACCTTTGATTGACTTTGAGTTTCACTATTATCTCTTTATTTAATGTCCAAGTTTCACAGCCGTATGTCATGATTAGTAGCATACACTGATCGATTGTTTTTTTTTTCTTCAGGTGACGTCTTCGATTTGAATATAACTGCATTTCTACCAATAGATGTCCAAGCCAATTTCATTCTTTCTGTTGATTTCTGGAAGTAAGGAGCTAGATTTATGTATTAATTGTCCAGTATGCATACTCGTCTACTGTCTCAAGTATAGTGTTGTTTATTATTATATCTTGGATATCCATTAGCTCATTGTACATGGTTTTTGTTTTTGTCAAGTTAATTTTTACGTCAACTTCATGGTTAGCTGCATTAAGATCGCTTATAAGTTTTTGTAATTCTGCGGGACTATTAGCAATCAGAACGACGTCGTCTGCAAATCTTAGATGGCTGAGGTATTCTTCGTCAATTGATAGGCCTTTGTTCTATTAGTTTATTTTGCTAAATATATTTTCTAGAATTGCGGTGAAAAATTTTGGTGATATTAGGGGTGTTAGGATGTAAATAAGAGAACTGACATTAGTAACTTGAGCCAAATTTATCATGCTCTAATATTGCTGAATTAGGCTTACTATGTTATTTACTTTAAAAATTGTCACCTAAGGTGTTTTCTTTACATAATTTTTTTTCAAATAATTTTCAAATATAAATAAAATAAATTAAAATAACAATTTCTTTCTTTCAATTTCAATTTGAATTTCAATTTCAATTTCAATTTCAATTTCAATTTCAATTTCAATTTCAATTCAATTTTCAGTTCCAAATGTTATGAACCTTGGACTGTTGGAAGTTTAATCATTTTGCCCTTTGCCTGTGGCTGGCTAAGCAGTCACAACGTAGACTGTTAATATATGATTTTTTGGATTGACCTCTCTTGTTTGTTCTTTGTTCATCTCAACCGATCACTGGGGGGTAATGGAGTTCTCAACCACCATTTCTTTCATGGTGACAGGTTGTCGACCAAATTTGTCATATTTTTCAAATAAACCGCTCTATTGTATTAGATTAGGTATTAATGCGCCTTGTTGATCTGTCACGCGTTGACCTCAAGGCATCTGTCTTTTCACGGTGGTGGCGTTATAATACCTGTTGCCTTCATTTCACCGGCAGCAGTCTAGAAGCTTTTTGTGATAACTTCATTATACTTTTAAATTACTAAATATTTAATTAATCATTTCAATAATGCTACCTAAAGTCAAAATTAAATCTTAATTATTGATTTACTGTTGGAAGTGCATCTTAGATCTTTTAGTTCTTCTGCACATTAATTGTGTGTTTTTATATAAATTTTTTACATGAATTTTTTACATACATGTACAATTACCACATGTCTTTTGCTGTGCTAAGTTTATGAAAATTGTTAACTATATTTAGTTCAATTTATTGTTTATACAACATAATTTTACAATGTCCATTGTCGTAAGCTTCTTTACAATTTTAATATCATTGACTGCTACATATCTTTTTGAGGTAACACACTTAATAACTTTTCATTGGATGTTAGGTTTTTCATATTGTTCTTTTTAGATGAACTGATGATGCTATTCAAATTGGATAGCGAAACGTTTTCAATAAATAGATGAAGTAGCCATCATCTTTGTCTTTTTTCTCCAACTTTTTGACCGAAAAACCCGCCACTCTTCGAGTGATCCTTAATTTATATTGGATTGACGGTCGTACTCCTTTTCTCTCTCTCTCTCTCTCTCTATATATATATATATATATATATATATATTTAGTTATAAAAAGAAATTAACAGAAAGATGAAAATGAAAAGAAAAAAAATTTGGCTTAAATTAAAATTAATATCAGTACTGGCCATCCTGTAAAAATATTTAAATAGTATTGTAAACGACAGTGGCAGTCTTCTTTCTTTTTAGAGTGCCGTCTTCCTACGGAGGTTGACAATCATAATGGCTATTTTTATTTTAGAACTTGCTGTTCTAAACAAATCAATCGATCTGCATTGATACCAATCACGTAGATTCTTTAACCATGAGATCTGCCTTCGGCCAACAGATCTTCTTCCTTGAATCTTTTCCTGTATTATGAGTCTCATAATTTCATATTTTGGTCTCCTCATTACGTGGCCGTGCAAGATCATAATTTTATGTGGGCATGAAATATTTTGCAAGACCCCCTGCTCGCGCGTAAAGACAGATTTAAAAAAACATGTATCATTTCATTATTAAACTTTTATTCACGCAAAATCTACTAAAACTTACAAGTTAATTAAAAATATTAGATATTAAGACCTACCAACGTTAAAAAACAATTTAACTTAAATATTCCAGGGACAGAAATATTCTACTATTAATAGTGAATTAAAAAAAAAAAAAATTTGTTAAAATCCTTTATAAAAGGTATATAAAATTGCCTCAAACGGGCTATCACAAACACATTGCAAAACGTTTTCGGATTAAACAATCCATCATCAGTGCAAACCTGAAAGTATATAACCACTTTAATTAAAAAGAACGTTAAATGAAAATGTTGACAAAGGTTAGAGCAAAATGTGGTTAATACTTTCGGTTGTACATGCTAGTAGCCACCAAAATATATGGGTAAAAACCCCTTAAAAGTTATAAATTTGAAATTATTTTACATTATTAGTGTTTATAATTTGTGATGGTTAAGTTACCGTTGGATAGGTAACATGGCGGCGTATGACTCTACATGAGTAAAATGGTCCTGAGACGAAGTGCCTACGAGGACCTGTTGATAACAACTGATTATAATGACATTGTTGACAAGTTAGGACGGATGTTGTGTCAGAGCAGTCAGTGTAACTTATGGTAGTTGTCTAAAATTGACAGATGTCAGCCTTATTTAAAATTAAAAAAATTTAAAATTATAATAATGTAACAGTATCAACCATCAGTATTGTAATCTGTATTGTAAATTAATCAGATAGGTATATTTGTAACATTGAAAATTGGTTTTTTAAAAATTAATGTAGGTCAACTAGAATTTATGAAATTTTGTGGGATTGATAGGCAACCAACTATACATGTGTAAGGATATATTTATTTTAAGCTAGAGATTTTGTCAAAAGGCCCTGTATGTTGTGAGACATTTGGTACCTAGAAAATGGTAAAAAGACACATGTGGGAAGATGGGTCCTAAAATATATATTATTGAGTATTGATGTAATAGGTGGAAGTGTGTTTAGATCTGTTATTGAGCTGAAATGTAAATGTGACAAGAATGTGATCATAATATGGTGTTCATGTAGTACTCAACTTAAAACTTAAGTATAGAAGGCCCTTTATGTCAAAAAACTACATTTGGTACCTATGTACCTTGTAGTTTTTTGACATAAAGGGCCTTCTGTACTTAAGTTTTAAGTTGAGTACTACATGAACACCATATTATGATCACATTCTTGTCACATTTACATTTCAGCTCAATAACAGATCTAAACACACTTCCACCTATTACATCAATACTCAATAATATATCTTTTAGGACCCATCTTCCCACATGTGTCTTTTTACCATTTTCTAGGTACCAAATGTCTCACAACATACAGGGCCTTTTGACAAAATCTCTAGCTTAAAATAAATATATCCTTACACATGTATAGTTGGTTGCCTATCAATCCCACAAAATTTCATAAATTCTAGTTGACCTACATTAATTTTTAAAAAACCAATTTTCAATGTTACAAATATACCTATCTGATTAATTTACAATACAGATTACAATATTGATGGTTGATACTGTTACATTATTATAATTTTAATTTTTTTAATTTTAAATAAGGCTGACATCTGTCAATTTTAGACAACTACCATAAGTTACACTGACTGCTCTGACACAACATCCGTCCTAACTTGTCAACAATGTCATTATAATCAGTTGTTATCAACAGGTCCTCGTAGGCACTTCGTCTCAGGACCATTTTACTCATGTAGAGTCATACGCCGCCATGTTACCTATCCAACGGTAACTTAACCATCACAAATTATAAACACTAATAATGTAAAATAATTTCAAATTTATAACTTTTAAGGGGTTTTTACCCATATATTTTGGTGGCTACTAGCATGTACAACCGTAAGTATTAACCACATTTTGCTCTAACCTTTGTCAACATTTTCATTTAACGTTCTTTTTAATTAAAGTGGTTATATACTTTCAGGTTTGCACTGATGATGGATTGTTTAATCCGAAAACGTTTTGCAATGTGTTTGTGATAGCCCGTTTGAGGCAATTTTATATACCTTTTATAAAGGATTTTAACAAATTTTTTTTTTGTATATGGTATACAGCCAGCTACATGAACTTAGTTTCCTCGTGGAATTTAATAGTGAATTGTTTAATTGTTTAATTACGTGCTCGTAATCTGGCTGTACAACTGTTTTTCTGTACAATAGTTTAGTACTAATAGGCTACGTTTTTATTATTTTATAAGTAGGTATAGTTACAAAACAATGTTTTGAAACAGTGAACCACAGTTTTAACTTCTTAAATATAATGTCACGGTGTATGGGAAGAGGCTGTTGTTTGACGAACGGGAAATACCCTATTTTGTTTTGGGTGGCGACGTGCACGTGCAGCGATATTCTTCGCAAGCATTAGGGGAATTCCCTTTTTTAGGCCAGCGGCGACGTGTATTGCAGCGGGGATTTCTCGAGAGCAATAGCGACGCAAGTACTTTTTTCGGCGCGTTCATGGCTTATGTTTAAGTAATACATAAACCTCCATGGCACGAGGCCCCTCGAACCGCGAGGCTGTGGGTTGTGGCCCACGTCGCCCATGCCCTACGCCGTCTCTATAACGTCGT